CTCCTTTGGGCTGTGGTACACCTGAACAAACGTCCTTCTGCCATTCCTACTGCTGAAAGAGGAAGACTGTGTATTAAAGGCAGTGTATTGTAACGGGAAGAATACTTTCCAAGGAATTCAGCAGAAAACTTAAGTCCTAAAGGCACAAACTGGTGAACTAATAGGAGCATGTTACAAGAGAGCAGACAGATCAGAAGGATTCCAGGAGATCAGATGGAGGGTTTCACTCGTAACCTACATTTCTGAGACAGCATTTAGAGAGCCTCAGCCTCTACACATACAGGGATCCCTAAGATGAGCCAGCACATGCCAAGTTGTGCACATACCTAGTTTGCCTTGCGCCTGTTTCCTGTAAGCATATTTGCTAACTTCTTAAATAACACTGTTTGCACAGATATGGATCTACGAAGGGTTATAAATACAGGTATTTATATATAGTCACATATTTTGGCCCCTGTGATAGAGTCGTCCTCCTTTCTCTTCTACGCTGTTGGAGCAGCTGCCAACACTGATGGCACTGGAGGCTGTTCTCAGAAGTAACTCTTCCTACCAACACTATACAGAAAGCAACAGAAAGCACATTGCTGCTGAAGGAGAAGCAGGTGGCTCAGTTCACTCACAGAATTACTATATACACAAAGAAACCCCATGGACACAAAGCCCCATCCTCCCTCCAACTTGCAGACCTGGTTCTGCCCATCCTACACAGCTCGACCACCTTCATTACTGAGTTAACTTGGATAAATAAGAGCATCACCCAGACAATTACATGGGTAGGCAATAAACAGCAAGCAGCATGCAACGGGTTTCTCTTCTTGTTGTTAGAGAAGTCAAAACAATAGATGGCTTTAACATTGGAGCTACGGCCTGAGCACAGTGGTCTTATTACAGTTCAGGTAAATGGAAGAGTTGGAACATCAACATGCTACCAAAGGCGATGCGTGTAACAGTGGGTTATCCCATTCCTGTGACTTAAGCAAACATGCTACAGTTAGTTCAACACAAATTAAAAAGAACACAGCTGGGGCATACCAAGACCACCAGAGAGAGAAAAATAACTGACCTATGCTTACAATAAATATTTCTTTCTAATGCATTTTCTCCTGCAAAACGATGCGTTTTGAAATGAGAATACGGGCACAAGATGGAAGCTGTGATGCTCTGCCAAGGGCTTCCCACTGGGAGAATGAGAAGCTGCCTGTCCCTGTCTCTAAGTTAACAGTAATAGCAGCACTGATGATCAATGCTATTTATTTCAATGCCAGACTTAGTTTCCTGGAGAAGGAGTGGTTATGGATTAGATTCGGTAGGTTGCTGAAAAGCCTCTTTGAGTTTCTGGATCACCATCACATGTCCTGCTTGTGAACACCTTATGTTCAAAACAAGCCTAAAAGCAAATCTTCAGCAGTGGCTGCATGGAGGGAGACCTCCTGCCACACAGCCTGCCCTCTCACAGCCAAAGCATCTGCAATTGGGATCACATATTACTGAGACCAGGAGCCATCCCAACATCCGCAGCAATCCATTACCACTCCTGCCAGGCCCCACATCACAGCCACACAGAGAACAGCAGGATTAAAGCAAATGTCACAGGGTGTCCCCCCCAGGGGCAACGAGCTGCGCAGATCAGAGCCCAGGACAAGGAGGATGCAGCTGATGCCACGGCCAAGAGATTCGGGAGCTTTGGTCTTGAGGTTTCTGCGTGACCCTGTTCCCACTCAGAGAAAGAGCAGCCACCAAACAGTCAGTGCTACCACCACAAGAAAAGACATCATAAAGGGGATACGTGGAGATGGAAAAATTCTAGAGTACAGCTGGCACTTTTTGAGTGATTTATGCTCTTCAGGAATCGGAATAGAAACCTTTGGAAGAGATTCTTCGCTTGCTTGCCGGGGAAATGTTGTCTCAGTAGGGATCTGCTGCTTTTTTAGTTTGTCTTCATCCTGCACTAACAGAGGACGTTCCTGTGTCTGCTTTCGTGGTAGAAGATCAAGAAAGACAGAGAGAGATGAACAAAAATGACAGATGGGAAGTGTCCAAAACGATACTTGGAGGTGTGCAAAGTGTTCGGCCAGTCCAAATGTCAGCGTGGAAATGCACTGCTATGAAAGCAGAGCCCCAGGGAGCTGAGCTCACACCCCTGGCTGAGCTACAAAGCACAGCTCTGTCTGACAGAGCTGGTGGGTCTCTGAGTCATGATCCACGTGTGTTCTGTGCCTGCCCTCCAAGAAAAGTGCACGCTCAAAGCCTGTTACAATGTGTTTGGAATTGGAACGGTCCAGGATGAGAGTCTGCTTTTGTGGCATTACAAATAGAAACGGTGCAGACAAAGACCACACTTTGTACAATTCCCTATTCTACAGTGCCCTTAAAAATAGCATCTGTTAAATAACGGTGAACATTTATACTTCAGTGCAGATAGAAAACTGTTTTGTTTTTTTCTTTAAAATTCAGACAACGGTATCAAAATTTCCATCGCTTTGAAAATTCTGCTGGAAGAAGTGAAAAATCTTTACATCTTAGAAATGCTGAGCGTTGAACGGTTCCAAACTCCTTAAACTTTGCTCTGCATTTCAGTACTTTTGCTCCTGGATTCTCAAGAATGTAAAACAGAAGGAGTCAATCGTCACACAGGATCATGCAAGGGCTCTGGTGAGTTCATTGAAGTAAATAAGATTGTGGGAATGCTGCTGTGACCCATCCAGGCAGCTCTCCATCCCTTCTGCTCAGCCATGGTGAGGCTATGAAAGGAAGAACTTGGCTCTGAGCTCCCTCAGCTGAGCCAGCCTCCTCTGATCAGTGTGGTACTTAGGGACCGGCTCTTTGCACACCCCTAAGTGATGAGTATCAGGGAGAAAGTAGCTGGGAGACTGGGCAGCAAAAGAAAAGATAAAATGCAAGAGTAACATGATCATTAAAAGAAAAACGGAAAGAAAGACAACATGAAAAGAACAGGGTACAGTTAAACTTTCATCATTGCTTTTCTCTCCGAATACACATCGTTCATGCAGCTTTTTCCAACCAGCCATGCACCAACATAAGCAAACCGAAAGCTGCAAAAGCTGCAGCAGTGCACAAAGTCCTCTCGGTGTTGTGAGTTATGAAACTACTTCATGTAGCCAAAAGAAAAATGCTCTTTAGCAGCTGCTGTTGAGTTTTTGCTTGGTGCCATCGCGATAGCAGAGTTCTGTTTCAGAAGCACATATCAGAACAGCAGCTTTACCTCAAGCCCACCAACCAACCTGTCTCTCAGAAGATAGGACAGTGACTTTCTTTACCTGGACACACAAAGCACGTAAAGTTCAGTTGTCTTGCAGCAATATGGGAAGAGCAAAAAACAGCCCCTGGCAGAATAACATCCTTTTGCCACCACCACAGTGTTAAGATACCACCACGAAACAGGACTGCTTTGCATTATGAATTATCTGCATTATTCTCACCATCCCCAAGCTTTTTACACTGATGTGAAGATCAAGTGAACCACAGCCCCAGGAGGTGCCTTCTTTTGTATGTGGCAAAGATACATTTCTGGAAATCCACAGCAGAATGCAAACTAAATGAATTTCCAGAAATGCAAATCAAGAGCTGACACCAACTTTCACATCACTGTGGACCACTGCAGCCTTCAATGGGTAAATCCACACCATCCAGTTGCTGTGCACAGCATCCCCCCAAGCACCCCACGTGCAGCCACCACAAAATAATTTCTGAATAACTAAGAATTGCATTTCTGCACTGCAGCTGCTGAGCTGGAGGGCCCCTGCTCTATTCCATCTGCATGTGCACAAAGCAGCAGGCTGAGCTCTGCAGTTCTCTGCTCTGCAAACTCCTACAGAATTTACATCAAGAGACAGCAACCAAAGTGCAAAGCTCATCCATGTCTTAAACAGGGTAATTCCAAGCACGACAACAGATTTGTTTTGGTGGGCTTGTTTTGCTTTTCTAACAGGAAAAAAGCCCTGCACTGGCCTTTGTTCATGCTTTGAGGTGCCTGCAGTGAACTTTTATCCAGTGAAGCCCTGTGCTTCTGCTGATAACTCTCCACCCACTGCAGAATTACTTCTGTTTAAGGAGTACCTCCAGCCTTGCAATGGCATGAAGAGCAACCAGAAGTCTCTCTGCAGAGCAGTGGGCAGGAAGGGCAGAAGCTAAGGTTAAGCCAGGAGAGATTCTGTGGCTGCCTTCGCTGCAGCCAGGATTCAACTTCTTCACTTTTAATGAAAATCTCATTGGTTACTGAAGGGACTGATGACCAGTTTCACTCACAAGCTTCAAATCTGAGCCAGGTAGAGCCAGCATTAATACAAAGGGAGAAGCTGTCCATTATCAAAGGAGAAACAAGCTGGCAGACATCGCTGCTCCGTCTCGGTTTCTCCAAAAAGTCCCTTTTTTTGAGGGAATGAGCAGGGAGATTTGGAATGCCTGCAGCCCTCAACATGCAAACACAGCTTGTGCAAGGACAGAGGCCGTCGTCTCAGACAGCCCTGCTCTCACTACAGCACACCTACATGCACTAGCAGAGCCCAGTGTGGCACTAAACCCAGGGACTGGATTAAATGGAGACTGCAGTGACATCTGCAATTGATGCCATGCTAGCGTTTGCCCACTGGATTCCTGCAGTATTATCTCCACAGTGCCAATTTCTTTTAATTTAGGGCTGGGTTGTTGGATAGTCGGTTTTCTTTTTGTTTGTTTGTTTAATATTTTGGGGAGATGCATTCTTTGGTACTAAGAATAAACCAAACCCCAAAGCAGCCATGCGACGTGCACTGTCAGCACGGACAGCACTACGAAAAGCAGTACCAAAATCAGGTGAACAACATCCACATCCCTTCATCCAACTAAATAAAAACCAGTGTTTAGGACACTAAAACAAAAGCACTGATTCTCTCAGAGCCCATCTGACAGTCACACTGAATACACCCAACCCAGGGGCAGCTGGGGCTTGACCTGGGGTGGCAGAGCTGTCCCTGGGCACCCTCCTGACCCCAGGTACTCACTCCATCCGCTCCCGACGGAATCTGCCCGTTGACATTGAGTGTTCGGAACGGGGAGTGAGTGGACAAACGTTTGTCCCATTCACTCGGGCGAGGCTCGGGGACAGACTCCATGAAGTTCTTCTTCAGCTCGCTGATGTTGGCGTGATGCTTCTTTATTTCTTCTTGGGTCTTATCTAGATCCTAGTGGCGGAAAGATAGAATAAATGAGGAGACACGGAGACAGGCACCTACAGTTTGCCTATGCTGCCACAAAGCAAAGCTGCGCTCAGCAGAGTTGTTGCCAACTTCCATCAGTGGTGCTCACACTGTAAATGTACCTCTCTCTTCTTTCTGGTCTTGCATTGAGCAAACCACACTCAGAACCACGCAGTGTCTCCTTCAGGACCCAAACCTGCCATCAGCTCATTTCCAGGTGTGACAGCTGAGGTGTCACCTCATGGCCTTTCTGCACATGGGGCTTTTCAAATTGCAAGTCTAAGTTTGCTTGGGTTCTTTCATGCTTTTGAATTTGCTTTCTTTTCCCTCTGCTAGCCTGAATGTTGAAGGATATAAGCGTAGTTAATGTTTAAGAAACTTCTCTCCAATTTCACTTCTTCTCTTTCTACCTATTCTCCGTCGTCTTAACACAAGTTATCTTTGGTTCCAGAATATCCCATTACCTTTTTTTCCTCTCATCTCATTTCCTCCCTTCAGGAGCCACCAGAGGAGCTTTAGACTTCAGAGCTGAAGATGAGATGCAGACCTCTAAAACTTAGCTGAGCATTTACTTCATGCTGGATCAAGCAGGAAACTCCTGCTTAGATTATTGATCTGGAAAGGGCCAGATTTCTTCTCTGCAATGCCAGTTTCCAGCATAAATGAACAGACTTTGAGGCAAGTCAGCTCTGTTCAACTAATATGTTTAGCAATAGCCTCCCCTTGCAAGCAAACAGTTAGTTTAACACAAAGCTTTTGCATAAAATAGGCTTAAGCCAAACGACTTTTCTGGACAGTGCCAGAAAACAGCAAGCCTCACTCTATAGAGAAGGAGAAAGTAAGGTCAGGAAAAGCATCATTGGCAAAATTCACTCCTTTTATGCTTTGAGTTGGTAGCCAACCCACAGACCTAAGAAGATGGGAGAGCAAGCCCTTCCTGAAGCAAACACCTCCCCAGAGGAAGACTTCCCACTCTGGTACCTGCACCCCTGCAGCACACACAGTGACAGACCCCAACCCCAATGAGTAAATTTGCTCTTTCTGGCACAGTTCTGGGGAAATAAAAGCTCTGCCATCAGTCCCAGACAAAGCACATGGTTTGCTTATGGGAAGTGGCACGGAGAGGTGGGCTGAGGACTCCATGCAAACTGCATCTGGTCATGGGGTCAGGAGCCCTACAGCTGCAACTGGCTTAGAGAAGAGAGAAAGAGCACCCGAATCCCTGCTGCCACTCCCAAGGGCTGATCTGAGCCTGCAGAGAGGCTGCAGCCACAGAGCGACCCAGGAGACCACAGCTGCTCTTGAAAGCATCCTTAAGGAACATGCTATGACCACCAAGCTTTCCCTCACGTTCTGCCTTTTTCTATGTCCGCAGAGAGCAGCGTATGGAGCAGTGAGCATTGAACAGCTCAGTGCAATTAAACAGCAGCTCCTGGAGCATTTTTATGCCAGCAGTTGTGAGGTCTGCTGGAAACCACCTGCTTTGCCACGCACACGGAGTAAAGAGGAGCAGAGGGGTGAGCCACTGGAGCACCTGCAACAGAACCAGCGGGAGGGTGGGGGGAGCAGAGTCTGGTCCCTCATTAACAGGAAAAAGCCGTTTGGAAGCAGGGTGTGGGTAAGAGCTCTGCTTGGAGTTGGGGAGGAGGAGCTGCTCAACTGGTCTAAAGGAAGCGACAAGGCACTGTCCTCGCAGCGGTGGCCAAACTCTGCCCGTGGGTGCTCATGTCCAAAAGCTTAAAGTGTAGCAGTCATTTAAAAAAAAAAAAAGAAGAAGAAAGAAAATCCCCAAAAGCTGCAAAACTTTTAAAATTGAGATTAGGAGAAGGCAGTTAGTACACTTCGCTTTCAAGAGATACCAAGAGGAAAACCCTACTACCAGCTGCTGGTGCTGCAAGTTGGAGTAGAAACACATAACATAGGAACAGAATATCAGAAGCCACAAAGTCTTCTGTAACGTGGTGTAGGGGTAAATATATGATTGGCATGTTCTGTTCTGAGATTGTGCTGGGTGAAGCTGAGGGAAGGGCTCCCAAAGCCAATGGGAATGGATGGATGGATGGGCATCCATTGCCACTGGGTCACCGCCAGCCCCAAGGGGATGTACTGCAATGCAGGCTGTCCCAGGATATGTTTTCTTGTTTCCACTGGGCTGCCCTTGCCCACTAGAAATAATTTATTTCCAGCTACCAAAAACTCATAGAGGAGCCTCCCCCCACAATGTGTGCCATGGTCCAAGAACAGAGCATGGTGAGCATTGGCTCTGCCAATCATATATCTTGGGGAGTATGAGAGAATGAAAGTCAGAAGGGGTAGAAGGAAGAATGCCTGCACATCATCATGTTTACTGTCAACATGCAAAAGCGTACTTAAAAAAAAAAAGTATTTCATGCAGTAGCATGCAAAAAGAAAGGCAGCAGCAGAAGAGGAAGAAAAAGTTGAGCACAGAACACAGATCTAGGCAAACGCAACTGAAAAAAGCTTTGAGTTCATACAAACCTCCAACATTAAATTGCTATGCCTGATATAAATGTTTTCACCATCTAGTCTCTTTGATCTCTTCTGTGAAAATGAAAGAAAAGGGGGAACAAAAAAAAGAAAAGCACAAAAAATTAAAAGGTTGTTCTTGCAGGATCGACAAATTGGCAAATTAAAAAGTTAACTCAATGAGTGGAGCGCAGCACTGTGCCAGTGAGGGATGGGCCACAGTCACCACCAGTGAATGGAAGGTCTGGCTCATGGGGATGGGAAAATGTAATGAGTGCAATGAGTCCTTTAAAGAGACAGCTCCCAGGGTTTCATTGGCTTTTGCTTTGATTGGTGGTGCCTCTCTGAAATTCAATGTGGGTCATTTCAGCCACCAGACTTCCAAATCAAGCATGTGACAGCTCTGGTTTAAAAGAAAAAAGAAAATAAAAACCCAACCCAAAGCACACGAAGGAACTGGAGCACTGTCTTTTTAAACAGGTCAAGTATGCATGAGTGATACAGCAAATTTGTTTTGTGAAAGCGTAAAACGGCTGACCTTCCTCATTCTTATCAGCTCTTCCTCTTTTTCTGCAGGCTGCTTCTGTTTGGGCCGTGATAAGAAGGGAAAAAAAAACAAAACCACAAAAATGGTTGGTTCATTTCACTGCGTCGAACCTCACTGTATAGCCTTAAAAAATAGTGAGTGTCCTAACTGAGATATTGGCACAAACCTGGGGTCGGTCACCAGCCGTAGTGGGTACTGTGACCTCAATGTGCGTTTTCCTCACCTACATTTAAGAAATAAATGGGTAAAAACATTTGTTGTTAGTAGCCTTTTTTTCGAGAGACAATTTAGTTTCCAAACACAGCTGCATCAAGGTTGGTTTTGAAATGCTGGTTTTGAAATGCACATGCAAAAACCAAGATGCAGCCTTCCACAAGGAGTTAATGACACCGCAGCTTCTTGCAGTCTGTTAGTTCATTTCAGGTCATTCTTTCAGCTTGAGAGCGATGTGCATTTGCAATAGTGCACTCTAGTGCTGCTACAGGCTGCCTTCTTGCTGGCATTATACTTGTCAGCCCATGTTTTCACTGGATCTTCCCATGAAATCACGACCAAAAGCAACATGTTCACATGAGCACAGATGGGATGCTGTGGTATTGTGTTTGTATAGCCAGTGAGAAGAGACCTACCCATAAAAATGGACCTAATATCACAAATTAGGGTATTTACTGAACATGAGCAGAGAGCCCAGATTGTCTAAATGTTTTAAGGAAAGCACCTCAGGGACACTGGGATGCTGAATACTCTGAAGGTGAAAGTATCAGTCAGTGTTAAAAGAAGTGTGAGAAGGTGTTCTACATGTCAGAAATGGCACATTTGATGTGTTCAAATCCACCATTTCCCCCCACAACTACGTTTAGAGGGAAAAAAAAAAGGAATATTTAAGCATTTAGGGGGAAAAAAAACCAACAACAAACAAACAAACCAACAAATCTGCAATAAGTGAAATGGAATAAATAAAATTTACTTATCCTCACTTTAAAGCTACTGGGTCTGAGGGGTGTAACAAGAAGAGTGATTCTCAAATACACCCTCCTGAAGATTTCCTTTGGTATTTTCATTTAGAAATTATCAGCCACGGGGGTCAAGAAACGTGCTACTCAACAGTTCTTTCTGCACCTCCATCTCCCAGGTGTAACTGACAGTGATCTCCCATGAATGTGCCAGATGAGACCACATGTCTCATGTCTGCTGTGCATACCAGAACACATACATCCCACATCACACCAAAAACAGGCTCCAGGAACAGCTGGGAACAACTAAACATTTGGGCTGACATGGAAATGGTAACTCAAGGCATGCACCAATGCTGCACCACTGAGAGCATTCAGTCAATAGGATTTGCAGAATGTTAAGGACACTCTGCTATGAACAATATTTTTACACATTATTTTGACTTAAAATACCAACACAAGAATATCTTTATCATCAACACCAGCAGAAGCCTCAGATATCTATGGAGAGCATGAATATTCTTAAAAAAAACTCCATTTAAATAATAAATGCCCCCAAGGTCTTAACAGCACTGTTCACTACTAAAATTTCAGTCTGGTTTTCAGAAGCATCCAGAGGAAGTATATAAATTAAAGAGCATTTGCATTCAGATATTGGGCTGTGGACCATATCTGGGTCATTAATTGCACCAGAACTGCTCACGCTGTCCTATCAGGAAACAGCAGATAGAGGTTAACAAAGAATGAACCCTGAATTCAAGTTAACACGAACTCAAATATCTGTTTGTGTGCAATTCTTGCCAACTTTTTAAATGTGTCAGCCCGCTGTGTTTAGTTGCACCAGAGCTCCCACCAGCCAGCCCTTCTGCCTTCACCTGGCCACCCCCCTCCTTGCACTGTGGTCAGGGCTGGCATTTCCCTGCTATCCAGGTCCTACTGCTCTCTCCCACCTGCTGCCCAGGAAGGGAAGGTGCCCAGGGCCACAGCTCCAGCCTGGCACCAGCCTGTCCCCAAGTGATGTGGACTAACATACCTTAGATGCCTCAGCTTGCTCTGCTTTGGCTCTCTCTGGGAGGACCTCCTCACGCTTCGCCTCAACTTTCAGTGCTTCCTTTTCTACTTTTGATGCAGCGAGGGCTTCCTTGGCATCAGGTTTAGCTGGGGCTGCCTCAGCCACGTGGCTCTGGGCGATGGCAGGAGCAGAGGTGGGCCGTGGGCTCCTCTCAGGTGTTATCACTGCCACAGCTGAGGGGACAGACAGACAGCACAAGGGTCAGAGCAGGCAGCACTTCTGCAGCTCCACACAAAGGGTTCCCAAATTACAGCACTGTAGTCGTAAAGGAGGAGGGAGAAGGAGGCAAAAAGGGAAGAAGAAATCAAGATGTCGAGCAAAGCAGCTTTTGCATTTAGTATGGGGAAGTTGAGAGATTATTTTCCTGATGGTTGGAACAAAATAAAAAGAAAACCCCACAAGAGATGGTTTACAAAAAGCAAGCTTGCACTCCGCAGAGAAGCCACACCAGAAAGGCTAATCTATTTTTGACGTTGTGCCATTGATTTCTGGGTCCTTCATACAGAACTCCATCAGAACACAACCTTTAAAATAGCAACACTTAGAGCTGAGGTGAATTCTGGATCTCCTTTGCATGTCCTCAATCAGAAGTGGGTGGTTTCTGGAAAAGTAACCCAGGTTTTCCCCCAGAGCCCTGATCTCTTCAGCAATGCAAAGAAGAACAGAAAGGAAATACCCTGCCAAGCACTTCACCATAAAACTTTACAGCAACTTTCAGGTGGCTTCCAAAGCAGACTCAGTGTGCCTGAGATGGGTATCTCCTGCTGCAGCACAAGGCACAGCTGCAAGGAGATATCCAGCATCTCCAAATCCGTGCAAGTGCACAAATGAATAACATGCTTCGAAAAAAAATCATCTTTTGAGAGGATGAGTCTGAAATAAAAAGCACTACGTGTCCACAAAATCAACTGCCTGCTTCTTCCTTGGAGTTCTGACTTCCCAGACAGCCCCTGAGCTTTGTAAGCCTGAAACTTCCACAAACATTCAAGCTAATGCTGTGCAACAAAGCAAGCCCCAGTTAATTCATGGTATTTATCTACAGGCACAACAAACTATTTAGTTCTCCCAGTGTTGCCTTTGGATTGCTATTTCACTAAAAACATCATATACATGTGGTCAGGAAGAGTCACATTGCGTGGATTTCTTCCAAGCCCACCCGGCTAATCAAAGACACCATAATTCTGGAATTCAAGAAGGAATGGTAGTTTTAAGTGGCTCCTCAGTGAGAGTTCACATCACACCATCCACCGAGGAGCTAACAGCATTTCATCTGTGCCCAAAAAGTGTATGGAATAGAACATCCATGGGTCAGCAACACAGAAGGCAGATGGGCGAAAAAGCAAGACCTTGATCACTGAAGTGATATCTTTAAGATAAAGCCCTTGAGGTCTTGCTGAAACCCACACTAGAGCCCCCAGTTACCACTGCTGTCTGCATTCCCCTCCCACCCTCCAGCACAGCAGTGGGTCAGGCATGCTGCTGTCCTTCCAGGAATACATCTGGCTCCAGGACCTGGGTGGCATTTGTGCCTTAGAAGCGGTGACAGCTGCCCGAGGAGTTGTATGTGGGGTTGTGACATGGCAGGCATGGGGGGAAAAGCTGTCACAGTCGTACCTGGCTCCTTCAGGGCTGGTTTTAGTTCTCCCATCACCACCAATTTTTCTTCCTCCTCCTCCTCCTCTTCTTCTACTGGGCTTATCTCAACAGTGCCAGAGGCATGTGTGGCTAAAAAAGTTATGTGTGTGTTAAATGCCACCTCAAAGATTAAACAGAAAAGGAAGCAGTGCCACCTGTAAAGCTACAAGGCCAGCTCTCCTTAAGGACTGGTGCTCCTTGCATAGTGCCTCAGAGCTCCAGAACACATAGCAAAAATGACAAAAAGACACTGAGCTCTTCCTCTGCCTCTCAGCGATGAGGTGTATTCCATCCAGAACTGTGGTATTTCAGGTTTGCTCAATTAATGACCTATAACTATTTTGATATACTGTTCTAGATATAAACACAATCAAAAATGCTCCTCCAAAATCCAAGGTTTAAAACAGCAATCATCACCACCTTGGCCAAGAAGACGATATCTACTGGGAGCAAAAGCATGGGGGTCACCTCCTCAAGAAGAGGAAGAGGTGACCCCCATGGGTCCAGAGAACACCAGGTCTGAGACACAGCACATTGCCCATGGAAACTAATCCTACAGAAAGGCACAGTGGCACAGAAGTGTTAGAGGGCTGTCACACACAGCTGGCATTAGTTCCACTGCAGCAGCACACAGCCAAGCCACATCAAGGCACTCCACTCACACAACAAGGGCCGGCACGCTGGCAAAGCTGGTGATGATTTCACCAGCAATGAAAACCACTGCAAACAAGGCAGCCTGCCCTACAGCATCACTCCAACCCAGCAGTCCCAGCACAGGTGACTGCAGTGGGCACCTGAGGTGCCATGCACAGCCGTGGCAGTACCTGACTGCTGCTGCACCACGTCCGGCAGCTTTGGCTCAGCAATGGGAACCTGAGCCACCTCTACCTTCTCCTCCTCCTCCTCCTCTTCCTCCTCTGCAATGGGTTTCATTTCAAAACTTTCAAGCGTGTGCTTGGCTAGAAAGAGGTTTGCATGCATTAATGGAGCATCTGGGCACCCGCGGGCACACGGCAGCACAGAGACAGGGAGTGGAGGTTCCTCGTCAAGGCAGCCTCAGAACAGCAAAGACTTTCTAAACCAACATTCCTCAGCAGTAATTTTCCACGCTGCAATTGCCTGTCAGTCCTCCTAGATCTGACAGTCCCAATAGGATACTGGGAAAGAGTTAAAACCAATCAGCTCTTTGGGTTCTTTCCCACTGGAGACACAGCTGAGCTTTGGGGGGACTTAAAAACTATTCTCGAGCACCTCATAAGAACATCCATCCATCCATCCTGCTGTGCTAAATGCTGACTCCATCTTCTGCTCTTACAGCAGAGGGCTGTGCTGACTGCAGGAACAGAGGGGAGACAGCAGCAGGGGGGGAAAATCTGCCACATCACTTTGTGAAACCTTGAGCTGGATTTCAGGCATGAGTGATGACATGAGTGATGTCAAATGCTCACTGTAGAAATTCAGGGTAGAAGGGAAATAGAACAGCACACAGTGCATATGAATTATGCTCAGTCATAACGTATCGCGAGCACTGCCTATTTAAGTGAGGAAGAAAGTCAATATCTGACATCACCACTGCTGCCATCATCAGTAGTATTTAAATATACATAAGAGGATGTTAATATTTACTAGCAATAAAGAGAAATCTAGGCTCCATGTACGAAAATGAAAGGCATTTCTCGCACCACCAAGACAGGCTCAAAAAAAAAAAAAAAGGAATGAAGTCCAGGAATGAAGTCTTCCACAAGCTTTATGAATAGTATTATGACCACAGGAAAAGAACTTCGGGAGTTTTCTAATCCATATTTTAAAAAACACCCACATTTAATAAGGAGGCAGTTCTGAAATGCCATCCATCCTGCCTGCTTCCCCACCTGCCCAGGTTGCTGCCTAGCGGGGTGCAAAGCAGGAACTGGATGAGAACTGTGACTGTCCCTGGCTGCCTGTCCTCTGTCTGCAAAACTCTCCTTGAAAAGAAGCAAGAAAGCAAGCCGCCAGGCTCGGTGAAACTTGTCAGAGTTGTCAGGAACAAGCATGTAAAGGCATCTCAGTGGGGAAAGGATAGCAAACGCACTGCAGAGAGTTGTAGCCACCACAGCTATACCTGGCTTCTCTCGGAACTGATCCACGGGTTTTGGTTCGGGAACCTCAACCACCACCACCTCCTCCTGCTTCTCTTCCTCTACGGCTCTGAACTCAACTTTTTGAGTCGCACGTTTAGCTGAAGAAATGGTGCACATGTTAACAACTGCCCACACAGTAGATGGAAAAAGGCAGCAGACCTCAACGGGGACGGAAGCGTTACGCTCACAGGATGCTCTTTCCATGTCCTGACATTGGGTTACAGCATTGCAGCTGGGAGTCCTAATTTTACAAGCACCCCCTGACTCAGATCTCACCACTCCCCCTTTCACATTTCACCTCTCGTGCTCTGTCTGCTGCTATCAGGACCTTTTAAAATTGCCAGCAAAGAGCCCATCTGATGGATGTGCCACAAACTTCAGTATTACCATCCCCTTAACAGACACTGACCAAGATTCAAGCAATAGTGGCAAATCTCTCCCCCTCAAGGAAAGCAATGTAACTTAAGAATCTACATTAAATAAACATAGAATCATAGAATGGCCTGGGTTGAAAAGGACCATAATGATTATCTAGTTTCAATCCCACCCCATAATACATCAACAACATCCTACAAATCTTGATCTCCCAAAAGGAATATGTCCTGAGGCTGAATGTGGTTACACCAGAACTTTGCAAGGAACCTTCAGCACCAACATCCACAGCTGTTTTTTGACAGTCAGTTCTTGGTGATACTGCTATAGGGTTTATCTTTTACATCCAGGTCTTGCACTGAAGTGAGAAATTAAATAAGTTGCTTTTTCACAAATAAAGAAGCAAATTCTAGTAGCATTCGGGGAATACTTAGAAGTTTTCAAAGGGATCAAAACCCTAACTTCACCAAACCAAAGCAAAATCAGACACAGCCAACGAGCTGAACCCAGGCAGGATGCTGCAGGGGCACAAAGCAGAGCTGCCCACTAACCTCCATCGAGGCTCCTGGAGGCCCTCTTGCTCGCTGTGCGCTCAAACTGGGGTGCAGGTCTGTCAATCATGGCACTCGCCTGCCTGGTCTGCGCCTGCGTCCGCCCACTGTAACGGAACTTGGAGCCCAGAGCCAGGAATCTGCTCTTGGGGATGGCCTCAGTCGAAGTCAGCCTGGAAAGCAGACATGCAAGTTAAAAGCATGACTCCGGATCTAGGAATCGACACACATCTGCATGAGGAAGAAAACCTCACACGGAAGCTGCATGGAAATGTATTGCAATATAAGCATTTCATTTCCCTGCAATTGTTTCACTCTGATTTTTGTTGGAACCGAAGGAATGTTGAAGGTGTGCTCATCTTCAGCCACTCATCTTCAGCATTAATTAGTCAAAGGAAGCCTTACCATTTAGGAAACTCACCTGAAAAATGTGTGATGTTCAACACATACTTTCCACAGCTTCTTTGCTGCCCGGTAACTTGGTAGCTTGAATCCAATTGTACTTTCATACTGCTCTTGCTGTTGGACACATAAGTGATTTAGGTTTGGCAAGAAGCAACTGTTACAGAAGTGCAGCCCCAGCCCATCTACCTGCCCTGCCCAAAAGCACTAAGCTCACTCCACGGATGTGCAGGAGGAGCTCAGGTGTGAGAAAAGTAACGATCGGCCCCATATCTTGCCACATTTCCAGAAAAGGAGGAGGCTCTCTAACAACTTCAGCTGTGAATTGCTTCCAGCCTGGATGTGGGAATACCAGACTGTGCCAGGAGGTGGTGCTGGATGACACATTAAAGTTTTCCTTGTCTCTCAGCACTTCAGCAAGGTTACTGAGCTCTACTTGAAGAGCTGAATTTAGGGTCAAGCCAATATCAGAAGCACAAGAGAGTATAAAATGCCAACTCAGTAGGAAGCTTGCTTCCTTCCCAAAGATATCAGAAGATAATTTAATAAAACACCCCATAGGGGCCATAACATACCTCCCCTGGGCGAATCTTAATAAAGAAGCTGCTGCGTTTGTAGGAAATCTTCAGGACTTTGGGCCAAGGGAAGCGGTTGATTCTCAGCTTATCTTTGTAAACAAGAAGGCCACTGGAACAGACTCCCAGAGTGATATCCACTCCTTCCAAGTCCTGAGAAAGTACACGTACATTTAAGCAGAGACCAGAGTCAGAGTTATACTGGGTTACAGGGTGTCCTCCAAATTACTCCTTTAGTCTTTCCCTGAAGCTCTTAATTAATCTCCCACCTTCCGCTGATTCTCACCTTGGCGTGGTGAAGGTCAACTCCATACATTGACAGCTTCTTTGCATTCTCAAGGAATTCCAGGTCTGCTTGGGCTGGAGTCATGGATCTGGGGAAAGAGAGAAAGGGTTTGGCATTTCCATAAATGCTGCTTTTATGAGGAGACGCATCAGATTTCACAAAATTATTTACTTGTTAGATCTTTTGCTTTGAGCACAAGCAAATCTGTGCCCAGATGATGAATTACTAAGTTGCTCTGAATGCACAAGTTTGCATTTTGAGACACCCTCATAAAACAGAAGCATCATTCTTCAGTTGAGTGCTACTGACACCAGACTAGAAAGTAACTGATCTGTGAAAAAAGTGTGGCACAGGGTTCAAAACTCGAGGTGGAGAACACTCCAATTCAGCTGAAGGCAAGGAGGGACAGGTACTGTACATGGTAAGCACATGGCCTGAGACCTTCCCAAACCCAGCTATTGTCTGAGGACAGCTGGAACCACATTGCAGGTATTCCTGCTGGAGCAGACAAGACGAATGAGACATTTTCTGGGAACAGATGGTACCATCTGCAGGAAGGGCAACACAACAGAACTTTGCTTAACAGCAACATCCTGATAACGGAGGCTATCATCAACGTTACTGAAGTGCCCCTGTTAATAAGTTTCAGTTGTGCAAGGTACATTCAGCAGCTCAGCTGGAAGAGTATTCAGTTGCAAACACTCCATTTTGTTCATTTTGTTCACAGCTCTGATGTCTCTCTTGCTGAGCACTCACATCCATGCAGTGTGCAATATAAATGGGAGTACTTAGCAGTGTGTAAGACAAAGAGCACTGCAAGGACAGTGCCCTGCACAGGACCTGAGAGCAGTGACTGTTCCCAACACACACCTTTGCTCTGCAAATAAAGCAGTGAGAGAAGGAGCACTTTTCTACTGGAAATCCTCTGACAGTTCACAGAACACGGACCAGAGATGAGATGCACACATATTACATACTTCCTACTGCACACACGAGTGCATTTAAACAAAAATCTATGTCCCACACAGTCAAGTAATCTTGTAACAAAGGCATGAATAATTCAGCAATGTGATCTGCTGCTTCTGGCACAGCCGACGGCCTTTGACTCCAAGTCATGAAGTCTGTCAGTGGCCCAGTACTTATTGCCCCTCATTCCTCTTAGTGCAAATGGAGGGGAATCAAGATCAAGTATTGATTTGCATGATTGAGTGAGGCATTAATCGTAGCTTTGGTGACAGCCAGGGGTCTATGCACACCCCCATGGCTGCACTTCAGTTATTGGTTTCCATGTGCTCTGCTCTCATCATCAGTGTATCATAGCCAGCAGCTTCCCACAGGTCAGAGGGCTGCTAGTGCAACACCTTCACAACACTTTGGTACCTTGGAGCACTTTTATGGGCTTTTTTCCCTTAAAAATACAATAGTATCACTGAAACTGTGCAGCTGCTTGCTGGCTATGGATGCTCTCCATGTCACCCCTCTGGGAGCACACCGCTCCATGGAGCTTTTGCAACCAAAGCACTTGAGAGCATCTACAAAAATAAGGTCGAGATGAGATGAGGAGGAGGATCTGCCACTGTGACCCTCAGATCTGACATCAGAGCCCTCCAACCCCACCAGAACAACACACATCTGCCCAGGTCACTAATGCATTTGTGGACACGATGACAGCATAATCCATTTTTGTCCCTCAAGCATTACCTGGAATAATTCCACACCATATTTGTGGCAGCAGAAAACTCCAAGCATGCTGCAGACTATAGCACATACATAATGACATGGGATCTGTTCCAACAGATCACAACCCAAAACTCGTGTCACAAATCCAAAAACAAACACATGAAAAGAGAAACGAGTTTAAAGCAAGGAAATCTGCACTTTTATATGAAATAAAACCCACTTTCATGGCTATATTGTTGAAAAGGGGCACTCATATGAGGAACCTGCCAAAAAAGAGCAATCTAAAAAGACAGTTCTTAGGTGCCACTGCTCTTTACCTGTATGTTTTATGAAGTTCCACAACCTTCTCTTCAAGCTCTTTGGTCTGGTTTGGAGCCAGTTTGAATTCACTGATGTAATCTGTGCTGTGTAGTTCAGGATCATAGTCCCCCAGCTCGGACTGCACTGTGTAGGAACCCAGCAGAGCCAAAGTTGCAAAGGAACAAGGCAGCCGCCCTGAGATGATGTCTTGTCGAAGCTGAAGACACAAGTAATACCTTTGGCAGAAAAAAAACCAACAATGCTATTTACAGAGACCACAGAGACCTGAGGAAATTTGCTCCCGAGCACTGAACAAAGTCATTGTTTTGCACCACTGTGAATTAAGCACAGTGTTTTTTCTCATGTGTATTTTTAATTATGGGATGATCATCATTGTACTCCACAGTTGGAGGACAAGAGGACTTCAGGTCACCTCCACTCCAGAAAAAAACAGAGGACACTTTCTATCATCAGAAAAGTTTCTTTTAAAACAAAAGTGCATTTTCCCATACAAAAACATGACTACAAAGACACTGCTTTCAGCATGTGGACTTTTGGTGAAGGGAGGGAGCATCCCCATACACACAACTATTCCATCCAAACAAACAGAACCCCTCCAAACAGCTCTTCAGGATGTCCTGAAGGATGGAGCAATGCTTCGGTATTAAAAACTTCTGTTTCAGAGAATCATGGAATCTTATAATCACAGCATGGCTTGGGTTGGAAGGCACCCTAAGGATCATTAAGTTCCAACCCCTGCCACAGGCAGGGCCACCAACCTCCAGATCTGGTACTAGAGCAGGCTGCCCAGGGCTCCATCCAACCTGGTCTTGAACACCTCCAGGGATGAGGTATCCATCTATCCACTGCTAATCTGATTCCAGCAGCTTCCTGAAGGTGCTCCCAGTGCTGCTCAGCAAGCTCTCTACCTGCTAGCAAGATGAATGGGGCACTCACCTCGTTATATCCTCTGTCAGCTGAGCAGGATCCGGAGGATAAAACTTGACATTGAAAGTAAAATCCCAGGGTCCTCCTGAAAATACAAAGAGAAGTTTTAGAAAAATAAACCCAACAGAAGAGCTTTGCAACAGCCAGCTATCAGACCCAAACGTGAGCTCCAGTACTGCTCCTCACACAGCTCACTGCTGCTGAGGCAGATGGCAAAAGATACAATCCCATTTACAAGAGCTAGGATACACACATGAGAAAACAAAGCAGGGCAGATGAATACATGCCACAACTGGTGGAAAAAAAACAATTAAATTCAATCCCAAGAGGCTAAGTTACTCAAATACTTCTTCACTGATAAAAAAAAAAAAAAAAGATTCATGAAGAGAGGTCAGACGTGCTGTAGGTTAATGAATTAGTGTTTCATCACTCAACCCAATTTTCAAATGTCTCATAAGGAACAGATGTGCTAATTCACTCAACAGCCTAATGTGCTGCAGCCATGTGGGCAGAGCACACTTCAGCACAGGCATCAATCTGGAAGGAGCAGCAAGCACTAGGGCAAGAAGAGCTTTACAACCCAAGAGCAAGCTGTGGCAATAAAGCTTGCTGCAAACAGCACTGCTGCACACATTACAGCGAGGACCCCTGTAATTGTGTTGAGAAGTAGCATTATTTGTGGTACAATTAGCCTGCCTGGCTCAGTGACACAGCTGAGCAGGTCACTTGTGTGTGCTGCCCAATGCACATGCAGTGCAGCTCCTAATCACATCACAGAGCAACCCTGGAACTCCCTTCTCCTGTGCCTTTTAGCACTGTAGTTCCAAAAAAACTTTGCTTCAGGAAGACAATGCCTGCTGCTAACTTGCTAAGATTGATTAAAACCTCAGTCATGCAGTGATACACTTCATTCTGTGCCCCCAAAGCACACCCATAGAACAGCATTTACTCGTGAAGCAGTCAAACCCTATGCTGTCCCTGAAAGAAAACAAAAGCCTCACAAGTTTACTTAACTTTGACACTGCCCTCATCTTGAATGAACTCAGCACTAGAAGAGCTTAAAACCCTTTAGAAAGCACGTGGCATTGGTGCTGATCCTGCTTGAGGCCTTTGTTTATCATTCCACTATCCCTGTTTGGACCTTAAAACCACCTTGGAGCCCACACTGCTTCACTCCAGAATGCAGCTGGGCTCAGCTCCAACAGCCACCTCTTAGATTTTACATGGCAACTGCTGACATCTCCCTCTCCACCCTGTTTAGCAGTAGTAAGGAGAGCAGGGCTTGCACAGGGCACACACACTCCAAGCTATGTTTTTGCAAGGAAATGACACTTTTCTTCAATGTAGAGCATAACTAAATACTTAAGAAGAAGAGAAAGAAAGCACAGATGTCTTGAACTCGTGCTGATCCTGCCCAAGCACCTGCCCAACAGTCAGGGCCACACGTGTGCAAGGAAGGGGAGAGGACACACACCCCCACCTGATAAATCCCATCCACTTACCATGAACTTGTTTTTTTATTTCTTTGGTAGGATCCAGCCACGTCTGTAAGGGAATAAAAGCATTCACAATATAACAGACGTTACAGAAACACCACAGCAAACTGCAAGTCATCAACAGCACAGCAAAAAGACAACACCAGGCACGGATGCAACCATGGAAACTGAAGATGGAGAGCATGTTTCCAAAGTTTTACTCCAGTCTGAAGCCTCAGCATGTGAATTTCCAATCCGACAATGAATATGAATGAACAGTTTCCAATATGAAGCTGTTCTGGCTCCTTTGAGATGACCCCATTAACTCAGAGGCTCAGCACACACAGCTGATGAGCACCCTACACCACGCAGGCAGCCTTTACAGAAAAGGCTTTAAATGAATGAATTCATGCTGGCTCCTGAAAACACAGCAACAGCATCTGAGGGAACTCAGCACAGCACATTCTGCACTGTCAGATCCTATTTTCACTGTCTTTTTTAAAAGCAGCTTATTAGAAAAGGCTGCAACCGCATCCCAGCAGGTATGGTCTCAGGCAAACCCAGCCAAGGGGAGCACTTGTGCAACACATTTTTCCTCAAAGACCTTTGAAAACAGACAAATTGTGTGTCTGCCTTCTTGTTATGCCCCTTATCTGCATACTTATCCTCCTGAGAACAAAGATGGAAAGACCTTCTATTATTAGCTGTGTTCTTTAATGACCTAATCACTAAAATGGGAGAGAAAACATCCAGCAGCTGGAGAGCGTGACATAAACTCAGTCTCTTTAAAGTATGACTCAAGTTTCTAGTAATTATCTCAGCTATAAATTTAGAAATATATTTAGAAATATATCCTTCCCCCCAGCCCTCCCCCCTACCCCGTAATTTGGGGTTTTGTGGGATGATGGTGCAACAGAAGCCTCAGAACAACACTCCTGTTTTTGCCAAGCACAGTGGGGGCAGCTCCCAGCACTCCTGCCTCTGTGCAGTGCTGAGGACTGAGGAAGATTTGCACATCTGGATCTCCTGAGGTGCAAGAACTGACACTGCAGCCCCCGCAGCAATCTCTCTTGACTAGAAGGACTGTTAGCTTTGTGGCAGGGAGACAGCAATGCTTACGTGTAATCTTATCTTTTTATATGCTGGCCTCCCTAACCTAAGCTAGTGATAGGAAATCCATCTGAGAAATAGGCATGCTACTCCTGCACTTGCTTTCTCTTTACAGCTGCTGTTTTAAGCAGAGCATCCCTACGTACACACTGGCATTGGGGCTGCTTTGGTGCTAAGCAGCGCCCTGTCCACCTGTACCATCTGTAATTCCTACTCTGAAAACACCCATCACCAGGAAGGTTTTTTGCTTCTGTATGGGAGAACCTGCATGCAGCCTTCTAACTGCCCTTGAACAGAGGTCTGCATCTCCCTGCTACTCTGCAAGCTGCCAGGAGGTGAAGAAGCACAGCTACAGACTTCCTACTGAGATCAGTTCTAACAGTGCATCAGTCACCTGGCGGCAGGTCCCCCATCAGGACAAAAGGAGAGCATCTTCCTCTGCACTAGAGCAACTTTACCTTCCTGCACTCTCAGCCCTGACACACTGATCTGACAGAGCAATCTGTTTTCTGTCTCTGTGGTTAAAAAGCTGCACAGCCCCTGAGCTCAGGTCAGGCAGCACCCAGAGCCAGCAGGGCAGCTTGCTGCCTGTGGCACAAACAGGACAAACAGAGCTTTGTTTCGCCTGCATATTAAAAATACATACTTTCAATTATTTAGTCCTTTAACAACAAATACATCTTGGAAACTGGCCTGACATGGAAGCTATAGGTGAAGCAAGGGAGCAGCCAGAGTGCGGACCAATGAAACTGGTCTGAAGGACATAAAAGTGGCCCCTTGTTTTCCATGTAGCACACTTTTGGCTAGCTTCGTTAAACAGAGTTTGAGTAATTGCTCAAGTTAAAGTGTAACCAGGGGTTTAAAAGATAAGGCACTGCTTTGCTCCAACCAACCAGAGTCCTTAAACCAAAACCATCTGAGTAAGAATTTTGGTATGAAAAGGCCTCAATTCAAACCCACCAAATGCTGACAGCAGTGCCAAGGCAGCAGCTGGTGCTCCGTACCCCTGCCGTGTTTTCCCTTTTCAAAGGCACAATACTCATGGAAAAGGGACATACATATACTTTGCTGCTGAAATTCCTAACAGCTTTTAGGGATTTGTGACTTCCTGCTGGAAATATACAGAAACAATTAAAAAAACAAACACAAAAATCCCAAATCTTAGCTTAGGAGTCCTCCCAGGCACCACCAAGGATGTTTTAGGCTGGCACGTAGGTAGCAGAAGCTGAATCTGTGCTGGGAGCCAGCAGCTGCTACAAGCTCACCCACTGTACATTCTAAGCCTTGATTCACTCCCACTTCCCTGCCCGTGTTCCCATCACAAAGGTGATAAAGCTACCAGCACAGCTCAATGTTATCATTCAAAGAATGCACTGAACCACTTGTTATTAAGAATGGCTACGTTTGCTGGTGCTGCTCTGGAGGAGGAGGACACCAAGTGTAAAATAAATCCAGCATGAATTCAAAGCCCAGGATTTGTTACTGAAACAAGAGGAAGGGGAGTCACAAGTCAGAGGAGGAACAGGAAAGCAAACCCAAAGCCTCCCTGAGCACCACAGCCCAGGTCTGCCCCTACTGAACCTCCATGCAATGACTCCTCCATGCACAAGCATAGCAGTCGTACTCCTGCTGACAGCTGTGTGCCTTCCATGAACACAGGCTCAAGGACTGAAGTGCTCCTGCAGTGTGTCAGCATTTAGGTCCATCTAATATCACCTAAGGGGAGCTAACCTCCTCTTCAAGTTGCAATACAAAAAGCCCTTTTAGTCCTTTCTCAGTGAGGGGATCAAAAGTAGTTTTAAGAAGAGCATCAGCAGCTTATGCATCCCCATGTCCATGGAGGACAGCTTTGCACAGAGCTGAATCCACCCATAAAAGAGCAATTTCTTACCCTGGAGGTTGGCATGTCCCATATGGCCAAACCAAAATAGTCTTCTTCCAGGAGATTAAGGTGGTCACAGACTTTCTTAAGTAGATCCTGCCCCTTGGCATGTTTCTGCAAAGACACAGAAGAGATTCCAGAGGATAGGCTGCTTTTTGTCTGCAGAACAGCAACAGAATCAAACAGTAGGCACTACAAAGAAAGGTGGAAAGTGTCGACTAGCTTGAAATCAGGTTCTCAGACAACCAAGTGCTGTTTAAATGGCAGCCAATGTGAGACATGAAGCTGCTGCAGCCCTCCATGACAGCCCCCATTTGGAGGCAGCCCGGCTCAGCAGCTTCATGAAAGACCCAGTGGCTCAGAACAAAAGGCCATCATTTCCACAGCCATTTCCTCAACCCGACCTGCTGATTAAACCAAGCTTCCCTATTTTTGCCTTATACACCGAAAGCTGCTTAGCACTCAACTTCTTGCCTCCAGAAACACTCTTTTGAGTATCTCCATCTACTCTTTTTTCTTTTCTTTTTCCAAAATCCTGCAGAAGTGATGTGAATGAGCCGGCCTTAGGAACTGATACCCTTTTAGTCCAAAGCATGAAGAAAAACATCCCTAAAGGCACAAAACTATGGTAACCAAAAGCAGAGAATTCTATTGGAGGGTTTGATAAAAGAAAGCGCAGTTCCAGTGACGCCAAATAAGCTTTACTAATGCATCACTTGTGCTGGCATCTCCCCTTTTAGTCATATTTGCATGGCAATTGATCAAAGCCCACAGCCGTGTTTTATTCCAGCCCTGTAAGGCTGCTAGCACACATGCTGCAGCTCTACAGTTAATGCACTTCATGTGTTAGCCTGGGATATTTCTCAAGGAACTGGCACTTGAAGACATGTAGGAATTAAAAGCTTTCTATGGCTGTCAGCTGGGAGGAACGTCTGAAAGCACTTATTCTCTTTGAATAAAGGCACCGGTGCTGGTCTTTGCCTACACTTTTGTAAATCCTTCTTAATTAAGACTTGAATCCTCAAAATTCTAGATTAGAATTACAGAATGGTTGGGTTGGAAGGCACCTTACAGCCCCCCTCACTCCAACCCCTGCCATGGGCTGCCTGCCCCCCAGAAGCTCAGGCTGAGCAGAGCTCATCCAACCCTGCACTGAGCAGCTCCAGGGATGGGCACCCACAGCTCTCTGGATCAGGGCATCACTGCCTGTAGATAAAAGATTTATCCTCCCATCTAACCCAAATCTCCCTTCTTTCAATTCAAAGCCATTTCTCCTTGTTCTATCACTGTCTGCCTGTGCAAATGGTCTCTCCCCTCATTATAAGCTCCCTTTAAGTACCCAAATGCTGCAATGAGGTCTCCCCAGAGTGTTCTCCAAACAAGCCCAGCTCCCTGAGCTTGTTGTCTTTGAAGGAGAGATGCTCCAGCCCTCTACAAGATGCTACTGGCATTAAAGCCAAGGGTACTTGTGCAGTTAAGAGCTGCTCATCGATAGCAGCCGCTGCCTCTCTGCTGCTCTGAGCCCACTGCCATGCTGTGCACATGCAGGATGGCCGTGCCAGACCAGCACAGCAGAGGGGCTGCCAGCACCACCCTGGCAGACAGCAGCTGGCTTTTTTTGGGGGGCTACACATGAAATCCCCAACAAACACCCAGTGCTGCAGCAATGCTCAGCACTGATCCCGCTCAGCAACAACGGCTGTGCTGTTACACAAACTGCCAGCACTGACCTACTTGCCCAGGATCACCCGAGGTGACGTTCCCACAAGGAGCCCTGTGCCCAGATACCTTTTAGCTAGTGGGACGAGGAAAACAAGCTGGTGGATGTGTGCTCCACTGGTGAGTGCCTGATTATTAATATTCTGGGCAAGCACTTCAATACTGAAATAGGCATTTCTGCTCGCTTTTTATTGCCCTGAAAGCAAGGCAGCCCAGCGAGAGAACGCACAAAATAAAGCAGAATAAAAGCTCTTTGCAGTGCTGTAAGTCAACATAATAATTTTAAATTGTTTACTGCAAACATATTCAAACCCTGAGCTAAATGCAGCTTGTTTTTCTTTACATCCAAGCTACAGGAGATCGCCAGCAGCCTGACAGTCAAAGGCACTGTGGGTGAACAGAAAAGCACAGATTAACATGACAACACATTTTATTCAGATGAAAGAGGCAGAAGATATTTAGACAATCCCAACACAGCACAATAAACTCAACTCTTGTCTGGTATGAAAATGAGAGAGAAGATGAGCAGCAAGAGGGGTAACATTCTTCTAAACTTCCACCCATCTTTAAAAACAAGGTGCCTGGAAATCACAGAACAAGAAACAAAACCAACTCCTGGGGTGAAATGCGGAGATTTTCACAACACACTGAATAAGTTATGGCAGCTTACAGCAAGGTGGCTGTGCAGTAAAGGCTGTTGTGTAAATCACTGGCAGCAAATTAGATCCCCATTAAATAGTGTCGGTGGTAGCTGGAGGAGAAGTGAAAGGGAAAAAAGAAGAAACTAACTCTGCATGTACTTACATCCACAGAACACTCAAAGATGGTGTCATCCAGCAAGACAACTTTGCAATACATGTTTCTGTGTCTTCTTATGGATCTCTGGGCAGCTTTCAGATCCTTGTCTGCTTTGGGCTCTGCAGCCTCTGGCTTCAGCTCTGCCTCAGCGCTCTCCTCCTTCCCTTCACCTCCTTCCTTGCCCTCGAGGTCTTTGCTGTCCGATTCCTGCTCTTCCCTCCTCTCCTCCTGCGCAGGCTGAAAACCCCAGCACACCCACACAGCCAGTTAGATGGGGCAAACAAAAACCCAGCCCATGAAACAAGCACTGCACCGCAACATTTGTTATCAGCCCAGATGCAGAACCCACAACCCGGAGCGCAACAAGCACACTGAGCAGTGGCAATCTGTACAGTGCTTCAAGTCATTCTCTTCATTTAATAAATGATGCAAAAAACAAAAAGGGGTTGATTAGAGAAATTGGGGCAGGTTAGATCATGCCAATTTTCGGGTCACCAAAAGGGGAAGTCACCTTTCAGCCCTGACAACCTCTCCCTTTGCCCACTGAATCACTTCAGGGGCCAGCTTAACTCACTCAAGTAGCAGAAAACGACACAGTTTGGGAACAGAAGAAGGAAGGAAGTGTTTTTTTCTTAAACAGCCATTTCAGCAGGTTAAATGAGTCCACAGCAGGCTCGGACAAGTGCTGGAAGTGCCCCAATGCACGCGGCTGTGGCAGGGGAAGGGAAAGCCAAACCCTGATCTGAGCCAGCGGTGAGCTGTTAATTCAGCCCATCGCATCTCATGAAATCACAGCCAGGCACAGCCGCATGCAGGCACTGCTGGCTGTGGTATTTAGAAACTCAATAACGTCCACAAGCCGCTGACTTCTGTCCCAGCAGTGCTGGGATAATAGGGAGCAGAGAATCAAAGCTCGTAATGCCCGTCGGTCAGCATTTATCAAACAGGCAGCACCTCACAAATGCTTTCACGGCAGAAATATCTGCAGAGTGTCACAGTTCAAAAAGCCACCAACGTCAATCTGAAATAAGAACTAAAAAAAAAAAGCCCTGAATGCTTCATCTGAAACAGTGCTTGCTGAAGGAAGGCTGTGGGTTTGCTCTCTGTGCACACTCACGTGCAAAGCAAAGCTAAACTGAGAAAGAAATCATGCATTTCCTCCCAAAGAGGCAACTTCAGGGCTGAAACTGAATATAAACTTCCAGCTACCCAGCATGTCCCAACCCTGGTAGGTTCAAAATTCTAGCAGGGATCATCCCATGTTTTTTACAAGCCCAGGAATTTGGAAAAATAAAACCACATTACCTGCTACCTTCTTTGCAACGTTGTAAACTTAAGGAGCTGGATTTACAACTACTGCCTACAGTTGGAAACACTCCAACTCAGACAGTTATTTCTCAAAAAGTCTCTAAAAACCCAGAGTTTGCAGTTCGAATGTAACACATCACTGGAGACCATTCAAAACCCAAGAGCAGCAGTGCATGTAGTTCAGATTTTACCATTAACTTGCTGTGTCTCCATCGACATACATAGGTTGGTTGGGCTTTAGGAGGTCCCAGGAGCTGTGGTCCCTGCCTTTTTCTAACTCCAGGCAGCTACACTGGTGCACACAGAGCTACATCCCCCCAAGATCCCACCAAGGAGTAAGAGAGGCCAACTGACAGCCTAAATGAGCTGCTGCTTAGTGAATGTCTCATTGTGGTTATCTCTCCCTTTGTTTCTACATACTTTAGCTGCTAGGAGCTGGGCTCAGCACGTGTGCTGTGCAGAAAGCTCTATCTACATGATGCTTTTGTAGAAAATACTTGTATTTGGCAACTGCAGCAACAACCCAGACTGAAGAGATGACAAAGTCCGGAAATGCCACGGTTACACCTCTTGGATTTCAAGAAACCCTCCCACAGGTTCACATTTCCTTGCAGTTCCCACCTTGTACCATTAACCTGCCTTTATTCTGCACACACCAAGGGCATCCAAATGAGAAACTGCTCTGCTGAGAATGATGAATTCAAACCCAAGTTCTTGAGGGAATTTCCACGCCTCAGCAGAGCACTGAGCCAGTGCAGGGTGTTTTAAGACATGCTTTGAAGAGTGAGTAGAATCTCAGGTAGTTGGCAGTGTGGTTTGATAGCGGAGCAAGCTATGCAATACACGGAGATGACAAAGAGACTTTGCAGCACCTCAGGGGTTTTTCTTCTCTAGCTTACTATCAATGGATAACAATTGTTCTATAATTCTGCCCAAGCAGACACACTGCCTGGCCGAGCAGAGTGTTTTACCTGTGTTTCTGCACTGCTTAAGGAGTGGAGGTCAAGAGATGGATCAGTCTTCAGCTCCGGTTCGGGAGCTGCAATCGGGGCCTTCACCAGGATCTCCTCCTCATCAGGGTTGGCTCCTACCCCCGAGTCCTTCTGGTCCCCACCGCCCTCCTTGGGCACATCGGTGTCTTTGTCCTCCTCAGACACCTGGGACTTGGGCCTCCTGAGAAAGGAGGAGAAGAGGCGGGAGAGGCCCCGGCCCTCGGAGGCACGGCGCTCCTTCCGGCCCTGCTCCTCAGCCGCGGGCGTGTTGCCGTTGGATGCCTTCTGCTTGGGCCCCGACCCCTGCTCTGGGGATGCCTCCTGCTTCTGTGTGTTGGCAGCCCCTTCGTCCTCCTTCGCCTGCTGCTGCTCTGAGTTCTCGGGGTCTGCCGCTGGGCTCTTCTCTGTTGTCATGGTGGTGCTGTAAGAGAGGTGCGAGAGGTCAAACGCTGCGGATGGGAGCGCGGAGCGGCTCAGTGCACAAGCAGACACAGAATCATAGAATGACTTGTGTCGGAAGAGACCTCAAGGATGATGAATCTCCAACCCCCTGCCACATGCAGGGCCACCAACCTCCACATTTCATACCAGAACCAGGCTGCCCAGGGCCCCATCCAACCTGGCCTTGAGCACCTCTGGGGACGGGACACGACACATCACCCACCACACCGCCCTGTCCTGCTGATTGCAGCCCACAAAATAAGGCAACAAATAACTCATTCTGCTTGTTTTGACAGAAGACAGCTCTATGGCTGCTCGCCCATGCATCCTTCACCACTTGGACAACTCTGGCTGATGCCCTGGCATCACATCTACAGCTGGGCAAGCAAGAATGGTTAAAATCTGAGCACTAGGCAAAGGGGAAGCAGAGCCCACATGGCTGTCCTGAGGTTCACTCCTTCATGAGTCCCCTTTCCCTCTTGCACAGTGTCTGGACGCAGAGCAGATGAGGACACACACGTGATGAGATGTTCTTCCTCCTACCAAGCCATGCAAAAATCCCACACGGCCCACAGGGGCTCACAGCACTACAGCATCCCCCTGCCCAGCTGCTATGGGAAGGAAAAATCTGCTGCTTGAGACAAAGCCCACCCAGCCAACAGGAGCTGTTATTAAGTCAGGAGCTGCATACCCACCTGTGTTGCTCACATCTACGTGACCCTGACACAGGCTGCAGAACCTCAAAATGATCTAAAAAGGGGGGTGAAAAAACAGGACCAACTGCTGTGCTCGGAGCTGTACTAACAAACAGCCCCCTGCCCAGCACGAGGCAGACCCAGAGAGGCTGAGAGCACTTTGGGATTCATGAGACCTCTGCGTTGCACCATCAAACATCTGAAAAATTTAAGACTAAAAGGCTTCCAAACAATCTCCATAATGGAGAGCAGATTTCTTCAGAGCTGTGTTATTAAGCTGATGCAATGTTTATTTCAACTTTAGCCTGGGCTGTTGACACAAAAAGATGGAAATCACATGCGGGGAATATCTATTTAAGGTATAAAGAGGCCCTAAAATAATCATGCTTTAGAGAGGATAGAACTAATCTTTGTGCACTGCATCACATGTATCTGCAGCAATAAATTGCCACTGCTTACGCAGAGCAAATAGCATATAATCCAATATGCCTCCCAATCCCCCAGCCCAAACCTCAGCACACAAACATTGCCACAGAGCACAAACTTCAGGAACACGTTAAGATGTCACCCTCCTACGTATCGGTGCAGCCAACAATTTTAATTTAGCTCCAACTAATTGTCAAAATAAACAGAGTGCTTAGAAGACAAAAGCCTCCCCAGCTTTCCAAAGCTCTCTAACCTTGCATTTAATGCAAAAGCTTAATGTTATTGCTAAAGCTGTGGTTTATAACAAAGCAGCATTAGGGACCTGCTCTGACTTTCCTCCCCCAGTAATGCACAATTCCTGAGTTCAGCAATGCTGCTTTTCTACAGGGGACCCCTGGCAGCCTGCTGGGCACTGTGGGCAGCAGAGATCTGAGCATACAGCAGTGGGACCCAGTGTTAAGCTGCATTTGGGAAAGGATCTCTGAAATCCCCAAAATCCTATCCACTGGCCCAACCATAGCACCCAACTCTGGGAATGAGCCACAGGGCTCATTTTAGCCTGGTTTTGCAGCACCAGACCATATGCACAGCTGCCCACGCAGTGAGCTGGACAGGTTGGCTATGAGATATCAGTGGCCAAGAAGGTCAGTGGGATCCTGGGATGCACTGAAATTTCAAGGCAGAAATTCAACCAGCAGGTTGAGGGAGGTGATCTTCCCCCTCTACTCTGCCCTGGCGAGGCCACATTTAGAATACTGTGTCCAGTTCTGGGCTCCCCAGTTGAAACAAGACAGGGATCTCCTATGAGGAGTCCAGCAGAGGGACACAAAGATGATGAAGGGATCGGAGCATCTTCCTTGTGAGGAAAGGCTGAGTGACTTGAGTGTTCACCTTTCAAAGAAGTCTTGCAGGAGTTTGTTTTCTCTTTGAGAAGGCTGTGAAGTCCCAATGAAAGGAAAGGTGCTGGCAGATGCAGAACTCAGCCAGCTCCCTGCCAAGCTGCAGGACTGCCCCATCCTGAGCACGCAGCTGTGCACCTGCTGCCCAACAGGATGCTTAGTTGCTGCTTCCCTCTGTGTTTATTTTGAATAAATGCATTTATAAGGACTGTTACCAAAACACACGTTTGAAGTGCTCTGCTGTCTCAAAAACAAAAAGGCAGAATTACGGCTCTGGAAATCAGGAGTGAAGGTAAGGAACAGCAGAAACTAAGCCTCAGCAAGGCGATAAACAAGACAGCCTCCAAACAAACACTTCCTCTGGATGTAGCTTTCTCTTTTTAATCACTAACATCTCTGGAAACAGCCCGTTTGCTTGCTTGGATTTCAAAGCAGCTACCACTGTGCACTGCAGACAGCACTCATCCCAGAGTCTGAAGATCAGCCTGACTCCAATAAACATCTCCACATCTTTCCTCTGCCCCCCAGGAATGGCGTCAGAGCTCAGCTTCCCTCAGCCAAATCCCCCTCCCAGGGCAGGGGATGTGGAGATGGGCACGTAGGAGCACTTCCCTTCCCTGCCCTTCCCAATAAACACGGAATCGTGGCAGTGAGCCACCAGCACTGCTAACCCACAGAGTGCACTCGAGCATCTTGTTGTAAGAGCTGAGCCCTGCCTGGGCTGGCAGCTGCCTCTCTCCCTTTTAAATTTGATGCTCAGAAATGCTTTCAAGCTCTCAACCCAAAGCAATGGAGCTCACAAGTGAGACACACAACCAAGAGGCCGCGGTACTCCAGGAGCCCATTCCTTCAATCTTTGCTCAACAGCATTTTGTTCCCATGCAGGATATCTACAGTAGAACTGACACAAAGAGCCCAGTTCCTGCTCTGCTGCTCTCTCGCTCGTTATTTAGACAAAAAGTGGGTTTTAAATACATTTTCTCCATTGCAGTTCTACCAGGTTTTCCAGCTCTCGTAACACTGGATGCAGAGGGACTCGTTCCTTCTGGTTTTGCATTTAGAAGCACTGCTGCTCAGCTGCACTGCCACATTTGTCACTGATGGGTTTTGGAGGGAGGTTTCTGGGCCAGTGGAGAGAGGGCATTTTATGCTACAGAAATACACAAAGCACAGAAAAATTCAGATATGGTCCCATGCTGCCTTTAGAGATTGCTGAGTAAATACCTCACCAGCAAAGCGTTCACGTATGGATCTGCGTTTAAGCATTTCAGAGTTTAAGAACATCCTACTTCAGACAGGAAGTCTACAGCAATAGGAAGCAATCAGAAGAAAACTTCATTGCACATGGTTACAGCAGGTCTTCTGAACCTACCAGCCCTGCAATCAGACCCTCAGCCCCCCCAGATGCCCCGACCCCTCTGGCCTCACAGCTCACAGCCCAGCTTCCACCCAAGGCCCCATAGCATCACTGTGGGGAGTGCAGGTTTCTTTCAACCTACACTCACCCTCTTTCTCTTCTTCAAAATCCTTTAAACAAAACAAATCCCAGCCTTAAAAGTTGGCTGACTGCTTACCCTGCTTCTAATGGGTAATTTTGATACGATGCTTCGTAGTGTTTGGTGAACAGAGAGGGGGTATCCACCCTCAGTATCAACACACCAGTGTGGGCTTTCCTCCTGCAGATGTTGGAAAAGAGCTGTCCCTCAGGATGGACGCAGCCTTTGGGTCCATCCCTCCCATAGGACATTCTTTTGTACCCACTTCCCTTTTCTTCCTCTTCCTCCCACCCCAAAAAAAATCTAAGAGTCACTTTTTGCATGAGGCACACAGAAGTTGACTGCCAACAACAAGCAGAAATACGTGGCCAGATAAGAGGAGACTGCAACTGCAGCCAACAACCTAAAGAAGAAAAAGAGAGCCCCAGCAGCACTGCATTTCTGAGAACACAAACCAACCTGCAGCGATGCCACACACATTGTAACTACAGCCTTTTGCTAGAACACTGCCTGACCCTCCCACCCAAAAACGTGAGGCCTCACTGAGCACCACAGCTCCATCAAAGCTTGGAGATGCCAACAAGAGAGACACTCCTGCTGAAAACAGAAATCCAACAGCTGCAGCAGCGCTTCTGTTCAAGTGCACTCCTTCCCATTTTGCAACGCGTGGAGAAAGCACACAGCACATCTCTGCAAAGAGCAAACACAGCTCTGCTGCCTGCACAACCACAGTGCGTTCTGGGATGGAAGAGGAGAGCTGTGAGCAGAACATGTCTTTGAGTAACACAGATGATTTTTGGTACTACTGCGAAAGCACAGCAGAAGACTGAGTGGTTTCATTTTTTTTTTTAAACCAAAATAAGAAATTCAAATGCCTCTCAATAAATACCCTTAGAAATGGGAACAACTTAAGCAGCAGAACCTCTACAGTACCACTACTGAGGCTATGGGACAACAAAGGTCCAACAAAGGGACAAAAAGGTCCAATAGAACCATGCCATAAGTAACTGCTTTTGCAAAATTTAACACCTTTTATTAGAGGCACAGTTAGCATTGAGTATCTCCTATCCGTTAGCTTCTGGGGCTGATGCTTTGGGTCCTGAACAAAAGGGATGCCTGCAGTAATGTGAGATGGGGGGGGACCTGCCTGGGCACACAGGGAAAGCAGCCACAACACAGATGGCACATTGGAACCGCCCGGATTTAATTCTCACCAGACCAGCCCTCGTAATCTACTGTATGTCAGCAGCACCGTGCCCCTCTTTCATCTTCTGGGAGCGTACAGCTTTCCTATTTAAATGAGGGCAAAAAATAGTAGCTTACCATCTGCTGGAAGCAAATCATTTATGTCAAATTGAAGACCAGGCTTAAACAATGACCTGACTAAATGGAGCAGTAAGTGCATTACAACAGAGCAGAGCCAGAGCCCCTCCCCTATATCCTCAGAAGCCCTCCCAGATGCTG